CATAATGATGTGACTTATATAACTCGCCAGTCCCCTAATCTGATACTGTTGTAATTATGAGTTCTTCCTTTGTTTCAGTTTGATTTCAACTCCACCACCAGAGAGAGTCCCTATCAAATCCCATCTTTCTGCATACAGTAAAGAAAAGGTTTTATCAGCAATTAAGCATGAGCTGGACCGAGGTGGCCAAGTGTTTTATGTATTGCCTCGTATTAAAGGTAACCTCGTGATTACTGGTTTATATGTATATTGTTACTCGTACAAAAGTCAAGCACAAAGATTTATTTGTATGGTGTTTGCTTGGTAGCAGTTGTGTTGGCAGTAACTATGCGTTGAGTCTCTGTATGGCTTCTTTCATTGTCAGTAATGACCAAATGCATTTATCACTATTGTTTGAGGCTGTAGAGTGAAAGACGATTGTCATTTTCGTGATTTTTGATTCATTTGGCTTACATGTCAAAAGAACAAGAGAAATTCCATTACTGAATAACAGTTAATTAGGGGAATGTCAAGGCTTGTTTTCCCACAGCATTTTTTGTTTTCACATCTGTTCTTATGTTGCAGGACTTGAAGAAGTGATGGAGTTTCTTGAACAGTCATTTCCCAATGTTGAAATAGCTATTGCACACGGGAAGGTACTTTCTTCCTTTCTTTAGCATTTGATATCTCTCAAAGGGAACTACTATGAGATCAAATATAGACGCCTAATGTGAAACCATTATAATCAATTAACATAGAGAAATGAGTTATGAACTAAACTTTATAATGTTTGTGATGAAATTTAAACCTTAGGAAAATTGAGGATACATCAGGATCTGAAAAGGATATCATATGCGTCAAGTTTTACAGCTTAGGATGGGATCTGCTCAGTTGGGTTTCTTTCTCTTCATTCTGTACTGATATCTGCATCTTTTTTCAGCAATATTCAAAGCAGCTAGAGGAAACCATGGAGAAATTTGCACAAGGTGAAATCAAGATTCTTATATGCACTAATATAGTAGAAAGTGGGCTTGACATTCAGAATGCAAACACCATCATCATTCAAGATGTTCAACAATTTGGCCTTGCACAGTTGTATCAGGTCTTGGTCTTTCTTCTTCTTCATATATTTCTCAAATGGTGCAACATATATGGAAGACTAACATTTAAAATTGTTATCTTGGTTACTTCAAATCCTTTCATGTATTAAACAAGGGAATATAATGGTATCTGAGCTTTTCTAACTCCTTATCCATTTTACTTATTCTGTAAATTTTTGTTCTCTCTGTTTTTTTCTTTTCATTAAATGGTAGTAGTTGCGTGGAAGGGTAGGGCGGGCAGATAAGGAAGCTCATGCACACTTATTTTACCCGGAGAAGTCACTACTAACTGATCAAGCACTGGTACTTCTTTCTTTTTGACCTTTAATGTTTTACTGATTACAGTAGTCAATGGATCCTCAAATGCACGAGAATAACTTTTGTATATTCTTTAAATCTGCTTGTGTTACCCTTCATGATATGTAGCACTATTTTTCATGATTGCTTGCTATTTTAGATACACTTTAAAGACCATTAGGTACTGTGTTCTGGATATTCTTGTTGGTGCTTACTTCGGAGTGTTTAAAGTATCATTCATTGTGGTCATGCTCTAGGAGAGACTTGCAGCTCTTGAGGAATGCTGTGAACTCGGGCAAGGTTTCCAACTTGCAGAGAGGGACATGGGAATCAGAGGCTTTGGTACCATCTTTGGTGAGCAACAAACAGGGGATGTTGGAAATGTTGGCATTGATCTCTTCTTTGAAATGCTCTTTGAGAGCCTGTCCAAGGTTTTTTCTTGTTCATGATCTACTTGTTTTATATTATACTTTTATTAAAAGGAGCATCATGGTTAGGTGTCCTTTGTGAATCATTTCTAGCTTCTTGCTTCCATTTTTACATGCAATTTGGCTGATATTATTAAATTAACTATTGTCTTTTGCAATCTCTTTTGTGCTCTAACTGTATAAAATATAAATGTATTAGATGGCAATGGTTCAAAATAGTTCTAATGTCGAAATGGGCCTAGTTAGTATACTTTGTTGATTACGTGTTTGATACATACACTCTCTCTCTCTCTCTCTCTCTCTCTCTCTCTCTCTCTCTCTCTCTCTCTCTCGCACACACACACACACACATGTAATAACTGTTTATTCATTAGGCCCACTCGATGTTTGGAATGTGAGTTTTTACTTGATGTGCTACTTTTTTTGTGTGGACGAAAACTTGATTGTGCTACTAATTCTAAACTTCTTGTTCTTATTTGATGCCAGGTTGATGAACACCGTGTAGTTTCAGTTCCTTACTGGTCCGTTGAGGTATTTCTACTATCACTTTTTGTACCATCTTAAAATAAACACTTGAGCAAGATATATGCTGATTAGTTTCCAACAGATCATATTGTAACTCCTAGAAGAGATTGAAATGAGTATCTCTGGTTAAGGCTCTTTGAAGTAAAATTGACAAATGGTCCAGAGTACGCATGGGAACATGGATTTGTAGTTGTATATGATTATAACGTTGGTTGACTGACTTGATGGGTGCGCTTTATGTACTTTTCAGATTGATATAAATATAAGTCCTCATCTCCCTTCTGAGTACATAAATTATCTGGAGAATCCCATGGAGATAATTCAGGAAGCTGAGAAAGCTGCTGAGAAAGATATCTGGAGTTTGATGCAATATGCTGAGAATTTGCGCCGCCAATATGGGAAGGAGCCACCCTCCATGGAGATTCTTTTAAAGAAGCTGTATGTGAGGAGGATGGCAGCCGATCTTGGAATAACCAGGATATATGCTTCAGGAAAGATGGTTTTTATGAAAACAAGTATGAATAAAAAGGTTTTCGAGCTGATTACAGATTCAATGGTTTCTGATGTTCACCGAAATTCTTTGGTTTTTGGGGGTGATCAGATCAAGGTAATAACATATCATCACCTTATGTTCCTTTTTGTTTTCTTTAAGTTTTAGACAGGTGTGCGAAGTTTTGGAAAAGAAACTTTTATTGCTTTTTACACACGGTTCCCCAGCGGATCATCACATTTTTCTTTTCTTCTCCGTCTTTGTCTCTTCTCTTGCAGGCAGAACTTCTCCTAGAGCTACCGAGAGAACAACTCCTAAATTGGATCTTTCAATGTTTGGCTGAACTTCATGCTTCCTTACCTGCTCTGATAAAGTATTAGTTGTGTAGCGGTCATAATTCCAATTCTTTTTAATGACGGTACTGCATCATGGATTTGCTTATTGTTTGCTACTCTTTGAACCTCACATATAAGCATTGGGTATTAAAATGAGCCCCAACAATCTGTCTCGGTTTCCATTGCTTCCAGGTCGTGTGTTGTAGTTCCCTATTGCAAAACCAAGATGACCTGGCATGAATCACGTAGGGCATCACAGATTGATGCTAGCAATGAATGTATTACAACTGTTTTCCTTCTTCCCTTGGTGGGTTGGGTTCTGATCAAGACTGCAGTTCAATGGCAAATAATCCGAGGTATTTCAACCCTACTGTTTCAAATTCGTTTGTGTAAATCATCATCAGTGCTTCTGATTGAGTTCCATTGGCAGGTTACTTGTGCAATAGCTGCTGCAAGTGGCTCTTTAAGAGGGATACAGATTTGGCAGCGAAATTCCCATTCTCATGCATACGCATACGCGTACGCAAATCCTATTTGTGTAAGGAAGGATCATATGTCCTACTAATAGTCTAATACTATGGCTGTCTTGCTTGTAAATCAAGACGCCCGCTTTTTGACATGTAATGTTGAAAGAGATAAGTAGTCAGTCATGCTTTAAGATTCAGATAGCCATGAGGAAGGCCGTCAACTGTATAGTGTTAGTAGTGTAGTTTCAGCAGACAAATTATTTAAAACTGAGGTTCCCATTTTTTTCTTGGTTCCTAAGAAATGAGCTAAAAATAAACTATTTTTCTCTTCTTTCGGTTTTGGGGTTGGATGGGCCTGTATGTAGGAGAAAAACTTAGTTGCAACGGGGATACTAATAATGTCATGCCATATGAAAGTGTTATCACACATGTCATAGTGTTATTGAGTGTGATGGCAAAATAATGCAATAATTGTTTGGGAAATTCTATATGAACCTCATTAATTGCTCTTTACACCCCACTAAATTTTAATAAAATTTCAAATTACTCATTAAACCCCATTTTTTTCCTAAATTGTCTTCATGAACCCCATTCCCTAACTCATTGTGCAAACCTCATCCCATATCAGACACCACCCACCGAAAACCCTCTTCCCTTTCAACACACCCCATCTGAAATCAAACCCCACCCCATCTGATATCAAGCCCAACCCATCGAAAATTCCCTCCTCATGCAGACACACCCCGTCGCAGAACCCATCCCTTTGCAGACACACTCCGTCGCAGAACCCATCTCTTTGCAAAGACCCATCGCACAACCCAGCAACCCTGTCATTGCACAACCCAGCAAACCCCATCGCATGCCCCAGCAAACCCGAACCCATCTTTGCTCACCACCGAACCCATCTCTGCAAACCCGAACCCATCTCTTTCAAGTTTTCACAAATCATTCGAAGAGCCAAGGTTTGATTTCAAATTTGATTTCTATATTTACGTTTCTAAGTGTTGATTAAGCTTACGTTTGATTTTACTTTTGAAAAGCCAAAGTCTGATGATTGGATTCAAATAATGGGGTGCCAATAAAATAATGACGTTTGTGTAAAATAGGTTATTTATATTTAAAATTAGTATGGGGTGTAAAGAGCAAATAATGGGGTGCCAATAAAATCACCCTAATTGTTTCATGGAAGTCTTTCTCTGTATGTAGTTCTTATTTCATTGACCGGCGGGTACCCAAATTGACAGCTGGGACCTAAATTACAGAACGAGGCCTACCACTAAGTCACAAATTAATTTGCCAGAGCTCTATTTTTTTCTTCTTCTTTTTATATGCAAAGGAGGGCTCACAGCCTTGCAGCTGCTGCCTGTTTAGGTGTTAAAATTAGTTTTATTTGGGGAGGAATATGAAATTCGAACTTATTTATTAGGAAAAAAAGAAAAAAGAAAAAAGAAAAAAACAGAGGCAGCAGCTCTACAGTCTACTCACTCTTCTGGACCCGCATGAAGGTCGGCCCAATTCTCTCCAGTAAGACTCATCAGTTTCTTTAAACAAATTTGGGAACGGCTACCGTACCAGACTTGCTTTACAGATACATACAGAGACGTGCTAGATCCCATCCCACTCCTTGTGGTCTAATTCCATTTACTATTCCATCAATCTCAAATAAGGTGTGATGTTATTAAGAAATTAGGAAGAAGAAAAGAAAAAAAAATGAGCTTTCAAGATGTGCAGAATAGCGGAGGAAGGGGAAAGAAGGCATCAGCGTCTCCGTCGCAGGCGGTGGCTGCCGGAATATTCCAGATCAACACTGCCGTTTCCACTTTCCGTCGACTGGTCGATGCCATCGGCACTGCCAAGGACACTCCCGACCACCGCCAAAAGCTGTGCGTCTCTCTCTCTCTCTCTCTCTCTCTCTCCCACACACAAATTTCAAACTCCCATCGGCACTGACTTGTTGTTAGACTGCTATACTAACACACTCGCTACTCAAAAATCAAGATTTTTACTTACTAATGAGTACAATGAGCCTAATGTAATCTAATCTAATGGCAGGCACAACACAAGGCAACGCATACTTGAGCTTGTCAAAGATACGTCTGCCAAGCTCAAAGCCCTCAGCGAATCTGATCACCACATCAATGTCAATGTACGTCTTTTTCTTTCTCTCCCTCTCAGTCTCATCACTGCTTTTGAATCTTGATCTGCAATTATTAACATTGTTCTTCCTGCATCTTCTGACATTTCTTTCTTTCTAAATAAAAAATCCATCTTTTTTGTTGTTGATAATTTCAGCCCAGTAAGCAGATAGAAGATGCCAAGCTTGCAAGGGATTTCCAAACAACATTGCAAGAATTCCAGAAAGTTCAGCAGCTCGCCTCTGAGCGCGAGTCTACTTACATGCCTTCCTTGCCATTGGCAGCAGCAACGTATATATTTCTACTCTTTCGAAAGAACACAATCTTCTTTGTTTTCTTTTCACCTTCCTAATTTCTGATTGTGTTTTGTATGACTTACCTCCATACCTTGTTGGCTGGTTTTTCTTTTTTGCGCTTTCACTATAGCTCTGCGGCCTCTGCCTCTGAGGAACATTTGGAACCTACCAGCACCAGGGATCAGCACCGCCAACCTTTCCTTCAGGAGCAAAAGAGGTAATCAATGCTCTATCTGCATTCACATCATCATTGTTTGTTCTTTTCGTTTTATTTCATCTGTCATTGCCAATTCCAAACCATCCTTCACCTTCCATTTTTGGCTTTTCATACTATGAGAAAGGATGAATAGTTCCCAGCGTTCTTCAATTGGGTTATTTAACTTTTGTATTGTTGGACTGCTTGGAGCTCCCATCCCATGGCCATCGCTTTCTCATTTCTTTTTAGTGGCTGAAGGTCGAAACTTGCTTCCATGAACCTTGTACATTGAGAGTCTTAACATCGGCTACCCAATGGCCATATATAGTTTGAGCATCTTCGCATGCATATACACATGGATTGGTTTGACATATTCATAGACGAATTACAATGACCCTTGTTTTTGAACAAACACATGCAGGCAGGAAGTACTTTTGCTTGACAATGAGATTTCTTTCAATGAGGCCATAATTGAGGAGAGGGAACACGGTATTAGAGAGATAGAAGAACAAATCGGACAAGCTAACGAAATTTTCAAGGACCTTGCAGTTCTCGTTCATGAGCAGGGTGTAGTCATTGGTAGCTTCCAGATACCCAGCAGATGATTTATTTCCATTGTATCGCTCACTTTCACTTTCCATTCATGGATCTTTTTGCTCTTATTTATTTATCGGGTAAAGTGTTCTATTATTACAGATGACATTCACTCTAACATTGACAACTCTTCTGCTGCAACAACCCAAGCTAGAGTTCAACTAGCTAAGGCCTCCAAAGGAGTTAAATCCAGATCATCATGGGTAAGTACTAAGTAGTATACTTTCACGTCCTATCAAATTCAATTGTGGAAAACCTGAAGTTAGCTTCTGACTTGCCACATTATTGGTAAGCCATCATTCTGATTACAGGGTGTTTAGCAGTTTATGCTAGCTCAGTGAAGGAAAAAGATGTGTTTGAAGTCAGATAATCTATCACAATAATTCAGTCTATATTCAAATAAAATCTGCATGTATTTTCTGAAAGGCTTCAGATGAGCCCAGGAATTATGTGCCATAACAAAAATTGTAAGAGAATTCATGTATCACAAAAGGAAATTAGCACGCCCTCATCATGCCATCTTGACTGTGATACATACTACATTGGCAATTTTTAGTCTATGGATCACCTATGATAGGTTTCCTGTATGTATGGCGAAGCCTAGTGGTTAATACATAGTGGACAGAAAGAAGGCGTTAGGTTGCAAAGAGAAGGAATCTACATGCAAACGCAAACTTTCATTTTTGTTTAGTGTGGCAAGAAGACTGTCTGTTATAATAGCAGAGGGACATGTTAGAGTAGTTTTGTGAACAAGGCCACCCTGTAATACTTAATTGTAGGTTATAGAGCTGAACTTACCATGTTCTCTTAGAAGTTGATTATAATAATCCCTTATTTTTTATTTCCTATCAAAGTCTTCTCTGTAGAATTGTATAAAATATGCAAAGTTTGTGTATTGCAGTGTTGGTGGGTGGTGGCGGTTTGTGTGGTGGTGGTCGTAGTCATCCTCATCGTCCTTATCATATAATGTGCAAGTACATATATACAGTCACGATGTGCCTCTGCATGAGAAAGTTTGTGTGATGGATTCTTTGTTTATTGAAGTCCTCCAGCTTTTAGTTGAGATTTACATGTATTAGAGTGGAATACCTCTTTGTTTGCTTGTCTTTTGTCTTAAGGCTGATTTTGGTTGTTTTTGTATTATGGTTGTTGGGCTTTGCTTCTGTAATTCATTCGCTTTTAAGAGCGGGTTCTCTCTGTTTGGTTTATGCTTTCCTGTTTGTGTATATTAAAATGATGGATGTCTATTCCAGCTATTCCATTAGGTCTGTCTGGTTTCAAGTGAAATGATCAAGGTCTTGGGTCCAGTCGAACTTAGCATACACCCACTTGTGCACATCGTGTGAGAAGAGAGATAGGCATAATGGGGTACGCAATGTGTTGCCTTATTTGTTGTCTGATATAACATGTTCGATTCAATGAAGTTATTTGTATAGTTGTAATAAAATAAAATGAAATAAAATAGAAAGATATACGTCATATGATTCAATTGTGGAAAACCCGAAGAAGGCTCGTCTGAGGATCTGAGGACCTAGTTAGGAGGGTGAGGATATCAGAGGATGATTGAGATTGACTGCGTTTAGGTTTAGGGTAGTGAGTGTATAAAATATAATATATGCTTAAATAACATTTTTGTATATCCATTCCATATCCTTCCTGTCTTTACAAGTGTGACAACGTGGCATAACATTACTAGTCGGGATAACAAAATAGTGTTATCTCCGTTGCAACTGATGCATGGGAATATTGTGTGATTTATGGCGTGGGTGAGACAAACAAAACAAGAAAAGGAATATTGTGTGATTTATGATATTCAACAATGCATGGGGATTGACAGGAAGTGTCCCCTACTTTTCCATGAAGGTTTCAGCCAATTTCAGCTGGTTTGCGAATAACGCCCCCAATTTTGATTGGCTCGGAATCCACACCACGCATGAATCTTTGGCTTTATTTTGTATGGACAGCAACGGTATATAAACCATCAATTGCTTCCTCATCTTTTCCGGCCCCTCTTCTGTTTTCGCTTCATCACCTAGGGTAGCTAGCCAGCTCTGCAAACAGAGATTTATGTATCTATATATGCAATATCATATATATGGGATATGATTCATATATGTGTTTGTGTGTGTATGTTTACAAATTACATGGCTTATATTAATATACGAGATGTCTGAGGTTTTTCTTAACTCTCTCCCTCATAGGCTTACGGTACCAACTGAAAGAAGGTAGGCAATCGTAAGCGTATGAGGGGGGTGTTAAGATGAAGTTTGGCTTCTCTCTATACCACCCCAAGTTTTATACTCATTACGTTTTAACGGGCAGGGAAGTATAACTGGCTGGTATTTGGTACAAGTACGGTACCTAATATATATTATATATTGACAATCCAGCGGGTATGTTATAGATGAATACCCGATGCCAAACAATTCTTTTTCCATTTATTTATTTCTGAAAAATTTTGTTGCCTTACCGACTGACTAGTACTACATTATATAGTGAGTATATATATATATATATGGTGTTACATGGAATTTATACTCCAAACCAGTCCAGTGGTATACAAGACAAGACAAGACAATACTCCAATCCAGTCCCAGGTGGTGGTGGTATTAGAAAGAATCTTCCTCGTTTGTTGAGAATTGAATTGAATTGAGCATGGAATTTGTAAGGGTTTACCAATACCAACCAACCATTGTATCAAAATTGACCGCCACCAGTAAGTTGAGGTCCACGATTGACCAAGAGAAGAGACAGACACCATTCATTTCATTAATTCCCATGAGCCATGAGCCATGACGACGACGACGACGAAAATGGAGGAAAAATGAGGACTGGATTAGCATGGCATGATGGCATGCGGGTATTAATACTGATAGTAAATAGCATCTTTGGTTTGCTAAACCAAGTAAGTAATCATGCAGTCAGCAGACTGAGACGCCACTCATCTAAACTTGATCATGCATGCACTGTGCACACTCACAAGTTCACAACACAAATGCTCTCACTATTGCTTTACTAGCTATCATTATATACATTCTTTTTTAATTGTTTTTTATTTATTTTGGGGTACCTATGTATGTACATGCAGCATATATTTTCTTCCAGCTTTTAGCGGACTGCAAGCGAAGCTACCTAGCGCCGCTGACCCAGTCATGAAAGCCCATTAGCAGGCTTCAGCAAAGTCCATCATTGTTTTTTTCATCTTACATATATATATATATATATATATAATATGCGACACCAGATCAGATCAGACCAACAAGATACAAATTTAGTTTAGTTTATTACACATTGACATATATATATATATATATATATATATATACACACGCTTTATCCCATCATATTCTGATGTTCCCGCAGCTGACATTCTTATTTTTACTTTTTAGTTAATTCTTACATCTACTTTCGTCAACTAGAATTTAACGTATGAGAGAGCATTTTATTATATGCTGATATTATACACGCGTTAATATCATCTCCTTGTGCTGCTTCATAGTAAATTAGTACTTCTGTCTTGGGTTGTGTATTGTCTTTCACACTTCTTCACATTTGTATTGTCGACGTTTTTTTGTTCTTCTTACATTTGCAACAAACAAGAACTAGTTATTGACGGTTTATATTTCTTTTCCAGCAGGCATCTAATTTTCTGATCCTCCCTTTTTCTGTTGCCCAAGGTTGAGATAATGTAGTTATTGACAGTTTAGTTGTTGTTTTAAATTGAACAGATACATTCGAGTTACCGACTTCATCAACCGTTCCACAATCTTGCTTCAGTGTAGGGAGTGGTTTTTCCTTGTTTATCTTCCTTAATTTGTTTTACTTTTGTTATTTTTCTGTTTTGGATTCAAGATGTTTCTGAGCAAAGTTCATTTTCGTTGAGTAATTTTGTAGTGTTTCCCTAATGATTGATTGTAATCAGGTGGTGTTCCTTTTCATATTAGGAGTGCGTTCATGTTGATGGTGCATGATTTAAAAATGTCTTGTCATTCTTATTTGATGCATCTCATCTGCTATATGCAATGAATTATTATTATTATTATTAATATAAAGAAAAAGGAAGTCTGATGTCTTTCCTTTATAGCAGCTACATGATGATGTTCCAATTATAAAAAACTGTGATGGGCGAGAATTTCATTTTCGTTGAATTAATTTGGTGGTTTTAATGGAATTAATAGGTACCTAGTTCAACTTCAACTCGAACCAAAACCAAATCATCTATGACAGTTAGTGGAGCCCACCCCTCAAACAAAAAGTTTAAAAATGATCAACGGTCAGATGACAGCAGTTATATTGTATGCCTCAGCGTAGCTGATTCCTTAGCCGACAGTTGAAGAGTACGGTCGTAATAGCGTGCGCTGAAGTATCACGCCTTGGCTATTGACCGGACAACTCTTTCTTTCTGTCGTTTCATTTCTTCTTCTTCCATCTATAGGAAATGAAAATAAGATAATTCCTTCCTTCCTTCTTTCTTTCATTGCCTATTTGCCCTTTCTGATCTCTTCTTTCTTTCTGGGAATCCCTGAACCTCAAATCTCCCAATCTCACATCTGTCTGATTATCTTCGGAATCAATTTCAAACGCACCATCCGCCTAGCCCAACCCAAGGAGGAAAGCAACACACAAACAAGAAAACAAGCCTCAGAATTTGGATCCGCTGTGAATATTAGCCTCGATCGAAATCTCAACTTGTCCGAGAGGGGTCAAGTAAGCTCCCGAGCTCCAAACTTAGTTTTTTCACCTTTTATTTTTTCTTGTTTTTGTTTTCGTCTTCTTTAAATAAATAATTGCATGATTTCGCATAATGATTCCCGATCTATCGGATTGATGCTAAATGCCAATTATATCACACCAGCAACACCGGGATTGATCATTGATCTGCCATCTTTTACACCAGCAGATTTAATTTGCTTACTTTGAGACCTTTGGGTGTTTCTCAATTATGCCTCTGCAATTCCAATTCCTCTCTATCTTTACCTTTTAAGGAAGGTTCCTCCATTTCAATAGCTCCATCCATGCCAGAGCCATTTCTAAATTTTATAGGAAGTAAGCAATGCGATTGATGATTGTATTCAAACACTGACCGAGACATGGGAATTCCTCAAGCATTTCTCTTGCTAATCAATCGCTATATGTTTCTTCTTGTGCCAGATTTTATAACGATTGAGTGTCAACTTCCGGTTTCAACTGCATGCTGCCACGGCTTCACATCTCTCTCTAATCCATGGGGGAGTGGGTCGTTGGAGCTTTCATCAACCTTTTCGGCAGCATTGCCATCAACTTTGGAACTAACCTTCTGAAATTGGGGCATAATGAGGTATACTCTATACTCTATTCCTTTGTGTGTGTGTGTGTGTGTGTTTCTTCGTGTGGAACCATTGTGAAATTGTGATTTGCATAACTATCACTAAACAAATTTATAACCTTCCTTCCTCAATGTTATTGTACCTAGTCTGAAAATGCAAATTTTAGCAACCTGTGTTCATCTGCAGCAATTTAGTACTGATGAATGTTTCTACTCTGACACAAATCATTGAGAGAATGAATACTCTGTTGCGACAGCATTATATCCCCATATTCATACCATGATGCAATCGTCGGATTTTTTATTTTCTGTTTTGGCAGAGAGAGAGACATTCAATACTAGAAAGTGAAGGAGCAAGTGGAAAGCTTCCTTTGAAGCCTATTATACACTTTCAGACATGGAGAGTTGGTACAGTGTTGTCTCTCAGTGCTTCATTTGTTCCAAAGGTTTTTCATATTCTATTTCACATGGTGGATTATGGACCTCGGACTTAAATATTATATAATTCTTCACATGCAGGCTTTTTATTTTTCGTTCTTGGTAATTGCCTAAATTTCATATCCTTCGGATATGCTGCTCAGGTCAGTACAAACTAAATTTTGCAGCCTTTTATCTGAAACTGGAAATTAAGATTAGTACTGATAAGTACTCAGATGAAAACATCTGCTACAAGCTTGGACACTTGTCTGAATAAGTTTATTGTTTCTGTTCTTTCTAATTATTTCTTGTATTCTTCTGTGCAGTCACTTCTTGCGGCACTGGGTTCCATTCAGTTTATATCCAACATTGCATTTGCTTACTTCGTGTTAAACAAAATGGTGACTGTTAAGTACGTTAAAATATGAAGTGGGAATAGATTTTCATAACTGTAACACCATTTATACATCCATTTTGCACATCTTTATCACCTTACTATTTCTAAGTACATCCGTGTATTAAGACAGCTTTCTTTGCAGGGTAATGGTTGCCACAGCCTTTATCGTTCTTGGGAACATTTTTCTTGTTGCTTTTGGCAACCACCAATCACCTGGTACATGATTAATTTTCAAGTCACAATTACTTATAGTTTCATTAGTGTATTGCGTTGTGCCAAATCCCTGAATATCTGATCAATTGTTCTGTATTTTGGTCCTACCTGTGGCAAGAAGCAACCATCCCAAACTCACACACACACACACACACACCCACACAAGTAGAACAATCTTCCTTGCAAACGTTGTATACAACAGCTGTCTCACATCCAACCCCTCACATGTTTGGGAGAGGGCTGTAGTATATAAAGGCTGCACAATAAACTTTCTCCACAAACACAAAATATATAGAAAGAAGATGAGCATCGACCAAGAAATATATTATATCCACAAGTAATGGACTCATGTATGTTCGATTTGTTTTATTACAGTATACACACCAGAACAGCTGGCCGAGAAATACAGCAACATTGCATTCCTTCTTTACTGCCTAATTTTGGTTTTAGTTGTTGCCTTACAGCACTCCATTTACAGGTGAGATTCTGAGAACTAAGTGCTGACTGCTTCATTCTTATTAGTAAGCCTCCAACACTTTTTTTTTTGGTTTCATCCAATTTCTGGATATACAGGAGAGGAGAACTTCTGCATGCTGTTTCTGGACAGGATCTAAGACCCTATTGGCATATGCTACTTCCTTTTTCCTATGCTATAGTTTCAGGTGCTGTTGGGTCATTCTCAGTGTTGTTTGCAAAATCTCTGTAAGTTAGCTTGCCAACATATTGTCTTCCTTGTGTGACTCAAGTGGTGAAATCATCCAAGCCTTCTGTTTCTAATTCCTCTTTTTTTTTTGGCAGCTCTAACCTGCTACGTTTGGCCATGTCTAGCAGTTATCAGTTACATAGCTGGTTCACATACTCCATGCTCCTTTTATTTCTAAGTACAGCTGGATTTTGGGTATCAGTTATTGCAGAGCCAACTTTCAATTTCATGGTTTGCAAATTGCTGCAATTGCATGGGAGATGGTGCTTTATTTAGCTCTTATATATTCATACTTTTTACTTCTACTTCTGCAGATGGCTCGGTTGAATGAAGGATTGTCATTATTCGATGCAATCCTTATTGTTCCTATGTTTCAGATTGCTTGGACATTCTTTTCCATTTGTACAGGATTTGTATATTTTCAAGAATACCAGGTCTCTCTCTCTCTCTCTCTCTCTCTCTCTCTCTCTCACACCAACATTTTTATCCTGTGCCTTTGGAATATGTTTCAGTTCACGTGGAAATCTTATTCGTTGTTGTTAAAACAGGTATTAAATGCACTAAGGACAACAATGTTCATACTGGGCATGATGTCTGTGTTTGTAGGCATTTCTTTGCTGGCACCTGATGATTCAAAAGGTATTTTGATGGGCTTTTTATTATTATTTTAAACACTTTTAAGTATGCAGAATATCAAGACAGGGACTTACTCTAAATTTTCAGGTGCTGAAGTCAAAGATAATTCATCTTTAGTTTCTGTGATGTCTTCAACCATTCCAAAAGACGAGGGCAGGTACACAATACACTCTTTTACGCAGTTCAAAAAATAATGGAATTTGAATTTTCAAGCTATCTATGTTCTTATAAAGCATCTAGGAAGCATTTTAATGATGATTCAATACTCAAGGTTTATAATATATAGATTATAGTGAGTATGCCTTGGTGCAGTGGTATGGCTTGCCGTTAGCAATTTCAAAAAAGGGGTATGGCTGCCTGTGTCTTGGCCTTCCCAGACCCTGCTTTGGCAGGAATCTCCTTGCATTAGGCTGTCCTTTCATTCATCATTTCTGCACTGTCTTGATATTAATATAATAGAATGAACAACAAAATATGATGGGAAGTTTTTTGTATGGCTACATATATCAGCGTTCCTTATTTGTTGAACAGTTTTCGTTATATGATTTCACTGTTGTAGCATATTCATTGGAATCTGAGCCAGATGAATATTCTGTTTGTTTGTGATTTTCACCACTGTTTGATACCGGAGTCTACGTTACAGGCTAGCTGTTCCATCCGAAGATGTACAAATTAGAGACACAAGATCATTTGTGCAAGGAATCCTGATGAAGATTTCAGATACAATAGTGAAGGCAAAGGTGCTCTTAACTGGCTTGTTGAACTTGCTTATATATAGATTTATGGTATGACTGACTATTAATGACATGAGTTTACATCCTTTTGCAGACTGCTTGTGCGTTGTCACTTGGATTTGGAGAGGATTCAATCAATGCATCTGCGGTCCTTGTGATGCCCATGGTGTCATCAAAGATAACGGGCTTTAGAGGAAACGGGTTTGACCGGGCGAAGATTTTCTCCATGAAAAATTCTGGTTGGACTAAGATCTCTATGGATGAAGATGCTACAAAGATGCTAGAGACAAGCCCTGTGCTCCCTGAGAGCCCTTGATAGGAGTAGTAAAATGCATTCAATTGGTTATTATTAGGAGGGAATTATTTCCATTTTATTGTCTTTTGTAGAAATACAAATGTTTAGGATTCATATTTTTCCGCTTATGGAGGCATTGCTGTTTTCTCAATGAGCTGTAATTCGTCACGCTATTGTATATTCTTACTCGTATATTTGAAAGAAATGAGAGTATCTTCCTTTACGGATGCTTAATTGCGCTAGCTTTCCAAATGGTGAGGTCTAGGACTCTAGCAAGCAGACAACGTTTTGTGGTAGTAAAGACGCGGGAACAACGTTTTACCTAAAGACGCTGGCAGTGGTGGAGGTAGAGCGTGATGTTTGGGAGGGCTACAAGCTTAAAATTATGAGATAATTATGAGATTTTTTCTGCAATCTATGCCTATACTCTTCATATAGCTGAGGTGAGAAGATGAGAAAATAAAGAGCTGAGCTGCTAACCAATATAGTACTAATTCAATTCAGTCAACCAATATAATATATTTAACATTATCAATAATGCTATTTGCACCATATTTACTGAGAGAGGTGATCCCACCAGTGTATTTGGATGGCATCTAATACCCTGTATTAGAGGGGTGGTGAGCAGTAAATGTTGTCAATTCAGAATTGTCCAACTGTTAACCAGTATTATATTCAATATTATTTCTTAGGCCCCGTTTGGTTTATGGGAAAGGAGACTTGGAGATAGAAAATCAATTGCTTTCCCATGTTTGGTAAGTCTAGGTATGAGAAAGTAAGAGGGAAAATGAAGCAATCCTCCCAACTTGGGTTTTGTTTTCGCTCCTCATGGGAAAGTTTGGAAAAATGAGTTAACATTAAATATATATTTTTTTATGACCATTTTATTCCCATTAACAATTTAGAATTACAATATATCATTAAATGCATTCTTTTTTTATTTGATTTAATATGGGTATAATTGAAAATTTATACAAACTTTATTTTCCATTCCTACTCAAAACAAACATGGGAAATGAAATAAAGCGATATTTCCAGGTTACTTTCCTAGCATTACCAAACGTGGGAAAGGAATCTTCCATTCTCATTCATTGGGGAATGACATGGGAAATGATTTCCTCTCAAATTCATTCCATGAACGAAACCGCCTTAGAGTACATATAATGAATTCATATCACAGTAATTTTGATTGAGATCGGTCAATCCACTAGTCCACAGTTCTTAGGAAGGAAGAAAGGATTTGGTTGGTCTGACTCTGAGCTAGGTATTCATGGAGCATGGATCAATGGAGTATTCCAGCAGACAACGTTATTGGGTGTTAGAAATCAAACTTGTGTCGTGCAAAGATCTGAAAGCCTTCAACTTCTTTCAGAAACTCTCAGTTTATGCAATTGTGTCTCTGAAGGTAATTAGCGATGATGCGGAGAAGAAAGTAAAAGAAGCAGAAGAGCATATGAATGAAGAGGTAGTGGAGCAACAAATAAAAAAAACACCAACTGATGGGGAAGGAGATGGAAATCCTGAATGGAATCACGAGATGCGGTTTGAGTTTGATCATAATGATGATCATCGTCAGTTGAAGGATGGACGGCTCTTGATTCACTTTGATCTGCGGCATCAGGGTCTGGGAATATTGGGAATCGGAGACAGAAGTATAGGAGAGGTTCGTGTGCCCTTGAATGATCTGATGATCCCATATATCCCACCGTCGCCGGCGAATAATTCTGGACTTGGACTTGGAGGAGTGCAGCAGCAGCAGCAGCGGGCAAGGTATGTGAATTATCAGGTCCGGACTTGCGATGAAAAACCCAATGGGATGTTGACCTTCTCCTACAAGCTGAAGCTACTCATTAAGGTACTTATACTTTACTGATCATATATTAATAAATAATTTGGTTATATATTAATAAATAATTTGGTTATTCCATTTGGTTTGGACAGGGTGCAGGTACTGATGATCAGCCGCGTATTCAATACCCCACAATTACATTGGAAGAAGATGAAGATGATGATATTATGCACAAGTTCAACAACACTAATTCTGATATTACGAGTTCCGGATCCCAGCAGCAGCAGCAGCAGCAGCAGGAGGAGGAATATTATTACACATCAAACATATCATCAGCTGCGCCCGCTCCTGCGCCCGCACATAATAATAATTATTCGCAATCACAATCACAGTTACAAGCTGATCATCAACAAATATGCAGCAGCTGCCTACCACAATATCATCATCCTTATGATCCACCAGTAGCAGTAGCAGGTCATCGCACCTATTATCCACCGCCACCTCCCCCGCCCATGGCAGATCATGGGGCATCTTACCCTTACCACCCTCCTCCACCCGGCCATGGGATGGTCCATCCTCCATGGCCACCCCATCCTTACCATGATTACGGTCCTTGGAGCCCGCCAGCTGGGATTGGACGCCCACATGGACATGGACATGGGTTTTTTTAATTAGTTTGATGATATATATGTATCTTAATACCGGAGAATAGATCGACTTGAAATCCTGGCAGGCCGGGACTGGCTGCCGGAGAGAGTGGTATGGTATGTAATAATATTAACGATGTTCCCAATGGCCCCTCCAATTCACTCACATCCATGCATCATCAGTGCATATTAATTATAAAATTATAAACTATATTATCTCAATATCTTTCTTAGATGGGAACGGCAGGCAACGTTTAATTCCATCCATACGATGGCCGTCCTTTTCGTTTGTATCAACCATGCTTGCACTACACAGCTAATGGTCCTCCTACCCTACTCGATAGATCTTACCTTTAAATAATGTATTTCTCTAACTAATGGTCCTCAATTCTCATCCGCTCTTCTCTTCTCTCTTTACCTTTGAAATGCTGTTGTGCTTGTGCATGCGCGTGCCTTCCTCCTATATATATATATATATATATATATCTCTCTCTCTCTCTCTCTCTCTCTCTCTCTCTCTCTCTTCCGTCTTTTTATTTGTCATTGTATCCATTTATCTCATTTTCGCACAAGCCAAAAGTAAAAAACGCATTGTTTCGGAAAAGTACAAAGAACATGGAAATTTTGAACACAGCCAGACTAAGCAACTGGAGTGTGACAAAATTTGAGTGCTCACAACGGGCGGACCACCAACTTAAACCTAACCTTGGTCAACACTGCTGGCCCACACCACACCAACTTATGTAAGACTTAAATATCATTATTTTGCTATCCTATCCAATAATATAATGTCACGTAAAAAAATTATCTCACATATAATTGTGTTATTAGTCGAAATACGCACCACCCTACCAACAAATGCAAAAGCCAAATAATAATTTGGATACATATATTTTTGTCATTACACTAATAGAGCTAAAGTTGCGATATTATTAATCTAGATCGTCCTGTATGATTACGACTCTCGATCGGCTCCCCTTTTTAATCTTATTTATCAAGATTTCCATTTCCTTAGAAATTAAGATACAACATACATAGGGATTTTGCAGCTTTTTCTACTCACTCATGAAATGGAGCCACTTGTCTTGTCTATATATAACTTTAACCGCTTTCGCTTTCACTTTCACTTTCACTTTCGTTATAATATTCTTTATCTTTAATTTCTCTCTTTCGTTGCTTTTGTTTCTCAACTCCTCCCACTCTCTGTCTGTTCCAGAAAATGAGAGAGTCCAGACTCCAGACCCAAAAGGAAAAAGAAAAAGAGATGCTTCTGCCTAGCCATAGTGGACAGTAGAGATAGGACAGGCAACTCGTACCATTGCTATATAAACCCTTGCGCGTACTGCATCTACTCGTTCGTCCAAACTACCTACTTATTATTATTATTATATATGTATTGCCCATCTATCTCTCTCTCTCTCTCTCTCTCTCTCTCTCTGTATTAATCTTAATTAATATTTGAGATTTTCTTTTGTACGCACGTAGAACTTGGTGTGAATTTAAAGTACGAAATTTTAAGCTAGACGTATGCAATTGTATCTCTCCACTCCATCCGAATCCCATCGGAGGTTTCTTTTCGTCTCAATTGGGTTGTGGGTTGTGCTTTGAGAAATATCAAGGATTAATGCTAGCTAGTATCGCGAGACCAAATTAAGATTGAAAGATGAAGAAGAAAGTATCTGCACTAGTGAAGCAGATAATAGCTGCAGTGAGCTCAATTGCGAAGAATAAAACTCTGGCCCTTAGGAGCAAAACCAGAGCCATAAAGACTCGAATCATTATATTCTCGTTGCTGAACAAGAGGTTTGTGATGAGCTCCATCTCTCACAAGCTCCACGCTTTGCTAGGGCAGCAGCAGCAGCAACACCACTACCCTGAATCTGATGATGATCATCATCAGGAAGATCAAGACCAAAGCAAGGGCAAAGCCGGCGCACTTGTAATCAACCCAAGCAGCAGCAACAACGATATTATTAATGTTGTCGTATCCCACAGATCCCACCAGCACCAGCCAGTTGATCTTATTATTAATCCAACTGATGATGATCACATTCACATTACGGCGGATTCGGAGGATAATATTGATATTGATGATGATATTGATCATGGGTACTTGCACCACTTGGTAGAAGCTCAAGCTCAAGCTCAAGCTCAAGCTCAAGCTGGGGATCATCACCTTGATTTGGATAGATATTGTGAAGAAGAGGATCAATTCGAATCTGTGATAGATATTGTGAAGAACTCAAAGCAACAGGCTGGGCAGGAATTCAGTCTGGAAGACGACATAGACCACGTGGCAGACTTGTTCATAAGGAGGTTCCACCGCCAAATCACAATTCAGAAACAGCACTCCTTCAAGAGCAAGAGGCACCAGTGACGGGGGTGACATAGCCGCCACCCACCTATTTTTTCATTATTATTATTATTATTATTTTTTCAACGGTTGAAAGTAATTTTCTCGTGTATCTTCGTCATATCTCATACGATGTGATATAATCGTATGACCTGGGCCTAGTGGCATTTTCCTCTTGAAGCGTGTTTGTTTTGTTTGTTTTTCACTTAAACTTTTTAATATTCTTTAATATTATTAAGGAGGGCCTGAGTCCAACAGAAACAGAGAGAAACAAGGTTGGGCCTAGAGGCCCTACCTAGAAGCCGGCCCAACTAAGATGGGGAAGCAACCTTTCTTAAAAACAAACAAACCAGCTCAATCAACACCGTGAATCCGGCCATCGTAGATGAATGAAGCAACCTTTGGTGTTTTCCATTTCCACCGAAGGCCAAAGCGGAGGTATGCCTGTTGATTGCTCTTCTCTTCTTCCCTTTACATATTTTTACTTGATAAAGAGTTGTATTGATTTAATATATGGATGCATGCTGGCTTATTTACTTGATTTTAAATTTAGGGTTTCTATTCTTAATTGTGGTTGAGTTAGTTCTTATCTTGGATTGTGATTTTAGAGGCTTTAGGGCTAACTAGTCTAGTAGTACTTCCTGGCTACTACTCACAAAGACAAAGTCCTAGTTTGTGGTTACCCAAATTAAGGTTCTAAACCCTATCTCATGGTTTTGTGATTTTTCAATCTATAACATTTGTATGGCTTGTTGGTTTTGTTCTGATATCCTAAATAATCCTTTTGCAATCGTAATATTTTGGGGTTTGCATTGCAGCATCCATGTGATTATCAAGCTTATACAATGGAGCACCCAAGCAATGATGACCAATGCAAGAGTTCAGTGGTAGTAACATATGGGAATCAAGTTACTGGTATTGAATTTGAGCTTTATAGTAGTCATGATTCATTCTTGCAACCCCTTTCTTTTCTTATTTAAGCCCCATTTTTTGCTTACAATTCTCTGATGCTGCAGATAAAGTGAAAGAAAGGTCAAGAGACCAAAGAGAACCTCTTCCAGGGGAGCCTAAATGTGTTATATGTAACCGTTATGGTGAGTATATATGCGATCAGACAGATGATGACATTTGCAGTTTGGAATGTAAACGGACTGTCCTCTGCAGGGTTGCCAACACCCAATTGCCAGTCAACCTACCACCTCCCAAAAGATTAACTGCTACTGATGAGTGCTTTTATGTTCGAGATTCTGGTAGTCAATCAGGATCTGTATTCTTCTCTAGTGACCAGACTGAATTGCTTAGAAGCAGACTTGAAATTCATGTGAAGGGAGACTTAGTTCCGCCACCTATCTTGTCCTTCTCTTCATGTAACTTTCCTCAAAAGCTCCTCCAAAATATAGAGGCTGCAGGTTTTGAAATGCCAACACCTGTCCAAATGCAAGCAATCCCAGCTGCTTTGAGTGGAAAAAGTTTGCTTGTGTCTGCTGAAACAGGGTCTGGGAAAACGGCTTCCTTTCTGGTTCCAGTTGTTAATCTTTGTGCAAATTTTCGCTTTGAGCAGTTTAGAGACCGGAAAAAGCCATTAGCAATGGTTCTAACACCAACCAGAGAGCTCTGTATACAAGTTGAGGAGCAAGCTAAGTTGCTCGGAAAGGGTTTGCCTTTTAAAACAGCACTTGTGGTTGGTGGTGATGCGATGGCCAGACAACTTCACCGCATTCAGCAAGGAGTGGAGCTCATCGTGGGAACTCCAGGCAGGCTAATTGATCTTTTAAAGAAGAATGATATACAACTGGATGATGTAAAGATTTTTGCTCTTGATGAGGTCGACTGCATGTTTCAAAGGGGATTCCGAGATCAGGTAATGCAGATATTTAGGGCTCTATCACAACCCCAGGTTTTACTGTATTCTGCAACGGTCTCCCAAGATATAGAGAATATGGTAAGCTCTATGGCAAAAGATGTTGCTGTAGTCTCCGTTGGCAAGCCCAACAGGCCAAATAAGGTTGTGAAGCAACTACCTATCTGGGTCGAGTCGAAGCAAAAGAAGCAAAAGCTGTTTGACATATTGATGAGCAAGCAGCATTTTATGCCACCTGTGGTGGTTTATGTGGGATCAAGATTGGGGGCCGATCTCTTATCTAATGCAATTACAGTCACCGTTGGAGTGAAAGCTTTATCAATCCATGGAGAGAAATCCATGAAGGAGAGGAGAGATATAATGAGGTCATTTTTAATGGGAGAGGTTCCTGTTATTGTAGCAACTGGGATTTTAGGCCGTGGAGTTGATCTCGTGGGTGTAAGACAGGTAATTCTGTTTGACATGCCCAATTCCATGAAGGAGTATGTCCATCAGATTGGTAGGGCATCTAGACTGGGAGAAGAGGGTACAGCAATTGTGTTTGTAAGTGAGGAGAATAAGAACTTGTTTCCTGATTTGGTTGAGATTCTAAGATCTTCTGGTGCAGCTATACCTCGGGAGCTTGTTAATTCACGGCATATGACAGTGACACGCCCATTCTCCAATGGCGGAGGCCAGAAAAAGAGGAAGCATGAATGAAATTTCCTAATGTTATTCTAGTCCGTATCTGGATAAGTGTACTAAAGGCAAAGAATAGTTTTCCCTGAATTCAGGGCATGGTTAAGTTAGTATAGTCCTGGCGGTTATGTACATACAAAAGAAAGAGAAATGGAAATGACTCTGTCCATTCATGCTAATTCAAACTGTAAATAAAAAATTCTTGTATTCAATTCAACAACTATTGTTTATTGTTCATGAGATTAAAATGGAATTAAAAGGGACCAAAGTGACATAAGTCGGAATTCGGAGGATAGTATCGAAATTAACTAAAAGAAATATGCCCTTTATCGCAAGTAAGTTTTTTGGGTGGGTGGGGGTAGGAGTCCGAGTGGACAGAAGACGCGTAGTGATCGGACCTCGCCTCGCCTGTGACCAGTTCCAGTTGGGGTTGGATAGATTTCGCGCCCACCCTCGCCTCGTATCGATACGCATATTATATATTGTCAAATGGTCGCATACGAGTCGAATGGATAATAGCCTGCCTTAAAGCCTTGGCCATAATTTTTCCTTTCTTTCTGAAAGTTGCCTTGGCCATAATAAAAAGAAGGTACATTAATCGACCAACCAACAACCCTCACGAGAGAGAAAGAGCGAAGTTGGATAGGGCCCTCTTTATTATCGAACAACATCAGGTAATTATTTTGATGGTTATTGTGTTTCAAATCCTCCTTTACGCCAAACAAAATCGGAACTGCAGTTGGTCTCAGAATTTCAAGATTGGCGATCAAAGTTTCCAACTTGTTTGACTTTCTGATTGCAATTATTAATTTAATGGATTTGGTATATCAAACGTATTTTTCTTGTTTCTTCGCCTTCCATGTTCGTATTTAATTTCAATTTATGCTTCTGCATAATTATACTTAAGTCTTTTTGTTTGGTTGATTGATTTTGATCAAATCTGCGCGTGGTGGCTGCCATGGTTGTATGTTTCAGCTTCTTTTTTCTTTTCTTTTCTTTTATTGCGGGAGGAGGTGAGACATTCTGAGGATTGCTGTATTGCAATTGGACATTCTGAGGATTAATCCTAGGAGCCACATTCAGCCATTTCTTTTACTTCTTTCTTCTCTGCTTTGTGGTTGCACGATTATCCCCAGGCATATTACCGTGTATTTGCCCTACCTTGGAAAAAAGAAAATGAAAGAAAGAAGATTTCTTTACATCTTTGCTCCTATATTATATGCCCATCCTACTTGATAGTACACTCTGCACAATCAATTCGAACAATCCTAGCATTATAAATAGCAATTATTTAACAACAATCTTACTCACAACCCTAGCATTCAAATTTGTTGAATGATTGTAAACTCTTTTCAGCTTTTCAACTTTGGCTACTCACACTCAGCATATAAGCTCATTCTAGTATTTGTTTTCAGTGTGAGAAGAATTTGAAAACAGACAACGACATTATGATGAACGGGACTCACAGTGTGGGGGAATGTTCTAGCTCAACTTCCCTGAGCAGCCAACAGGATGTTGAGGATGACTGCATGATTGCTGTTGTACTATCAGAAGAGTATGCTAAGTTAGATGGTGCAGTTGCTAGACGCCTTTCCAACATTACCAAAAAGTCTCCAATGGTACACAACTAGAACTTAATCTCAATTAGTGAGTCCAAAAATATTATTTCTCTAATGCATCTAGCATATTGACGTATGGAGTGTAATACACCTTGATGAAGTTATTGCTAGCAAAGTTTTCACGGTATAGAATCACTCTTCTTTAGAAATTAGAATTGCATGCTACATCCTTTGATTGTTCTCTTTAAGAACTTCATTAGGCTGGAAATAACTTTTTTTGTTTTGTTTTGAATTTTTCCATTTAATAAGGAAAAGGTGCTCGTCTTAATATGTGATGGTATTATTATGTTTTTAAAATTCCAGCATATTCCTCGGATAAATTCCTACATCCCCAACATTAGTGATGCTAGTTTGGACCATCAACGGCTTCTCCAGAGGTATGTTTTATGATTCCCAAAAAAATTATGTACTGGTTATTTCGTGGTTGAGAACTTTCCTAAAGGTATTGAAATAGCTTCTTTATCATTTCCGTTTTGGTTGATGGTGAGAAATAATTTAAGTAAAAGAAGTCAAATTTCATAGGTAACAACGTAAAAGCACACACTTGGAAATGGCCGGAGGTATTGGAAAACCTCACTGTAAATAAGCATATTTGTAACTCATGGAAAACCACATGAGTACTGCAATGGTAGTCGTAAATATTATGTATTGAGGCTAAAACTTACCCTGTTTGTTGCTAATGTAGGGGGTAGTTTACCCGTGGGTTGATGGGCGTACAAAAATCAAACTTGTATTATAATAGTTAGAACTATTATCAACACGGAAGTTCTGAGATGAATTTATTTTTGCTTTTCTTTTTACTTTTTTTTTGTTAACAGGTGTTTGAGTGTCTCATTTATGCAATTATGATATTCTGATATGAACCACATTTGGAGTGAACTTCAGCCCAGACTTGTTACCTCACATGAAAAACACATGTACCTTGTGGGCTTAGGCATTGAGTGTGATATACAACTCTCAGTCCAGCATCTTAGTGGACTAGAATATCTGTTTTGCACTCTATATACGTCTGTTCAAC